TTATTTATTTATTTTATTTATTTTATTTATTTTATTTATTTTATTTATTTTATTTATTTTATTTATTTTATTTATTTTATTTATTTTATTTATTTATTTTATTTATTTTATTTATTTTATTTATTTTATTTATTTTATTTATTTTATTTATTTTATTTATTTTATTTATTTTATTTATTTTATATTTATTAAAATAATTGAAAAAATCTGGAAAATTCTTGGATAAATTATTTTAAATTGTCGTTAATATTTTAAATTTTATTTTAATAAAATTATATTTATCAGATTAAAATTTATTGCGATATACGTAAATTTATTTTTTAATAATTATTTTATTTATTTAAAAAGTTTATATAAAATTGAATAAAATCCGGAAAAATCTCGGATTAATATTATTAATTTGCTAGATTATATTTAAAATATTACCATATATTTCATATTATTTAAATTAATATTTGTACCGATGTATGTTTTTTTATTAAATTATATTAAAAAATTTAAAACAATTTAAATAAAATTTTAAAAAATCTTGTATTTTTACCATTAAATCCGCTAAATTTTACTCATTTTAATAATATATTTTTTATATTTTTAATATATTAATTTATATTATTAAAAACTATTCCGTTTTTTTTTAACAATAATAATATATGACAATGTTATGACATTCGTAAACTCGGGCTATTGTGGCGCACCGCAGGGGTGCCCTCATGTTAGAAGAGTACATCAGACTTGGCAAGAAGGGCCAGCTACATTGTAACAAGAACTAACCCATTTAGGATAACTAGTTGGTCATTGAACTTGCTGACACTCGACTTACAAGTAACTTTACAAGCCGACCTAAACCCAACCAAACCCCATTCCAATTCATAGTCCGTCGCAGCTCACAATCCACCAACCCGCTGTCCATCTGCAATCCATAATCCACACCGACGACAAATCGACAAATCGACAAATCCACAACGCACGACCACCAACCAGTCAGCTACTTCATTTTACATAGCCCTATGTAGGTACAGGCACTGTAGCCGCCCACCTGACATACACTTGGATCAGTACAAGGAAAAAAAGGTGCCAGTCCGCCCGCTTCCTCCAACACTCATCCCCGTAACCGCCGAGTGCGGTCGTCTCGACTGTCGATGTTTCAAATCTCCCTATCACCATAAAGCCGCATTTGCGATTCAATTCAATATCCGATATACCAGGTCTTCAAGATATCCAACTGTTAATTTGTCTAACATTGTATTGTATTGAGGAAGAGAAAAGCGCAGAGTCATTTGGGATACTTCGCGTGACGGTGACTATTTCAGGGGAGAAGATAATAAGAGAAGGCATAAATCAGGATACTTATCTGAATTCACCATCCCCTTAGGATTCACTTTAAATTGACGTGGAACGAGTCCACTTGAGATAAAACCCAAGGACAACCGTCCCACATCGCCGGCATCTCGTGGCGATCTCACCGCAACCTGTCAGGCCCCTCCACCGCATCAATCTCGACCCCTTTGAACCCCGAAATTCTGAACACTTCCAGCCAACCAAGTCTCTCGAATCGATACCACTCGTCCCGCCTGGACGTTTAGGTACGGTTACCAAGCAAAGCGCGTCCATCTGCGGCGAGGGTCGTATGGGTTGAATAGTATGGCACATGCTCCGGCACTTTTACGGACGAACACGGCCCCCGTCTTCCCAGCCAACAACAATTACGGACCTATGTCGGTGTCTACTACGAGCAGCCTCCGCACAAGCCAGTTATCCGGCTCGACAGCCATCAACTCGTCGAATTCTTCGCTTTCATCTATGGTTCCCCCATCGAGCAACGGCAATGTGGTGCCCACCACCAATATTATCAACCAGAGAGCCGATGCCTCCAGGTCGCTATATCAGATCTGTATCGCGCTGAAGCAGCGACTTACTCGCGTCCCTGGTTTCGAGGTTCACCTCGATGCCCTACCACCAACCCACAATGAAGATGGCCCCGTGGAATCCTTATGGAATCTGCTGCGAACTGGAGTACCTCTTTTGACTATATATAACTGCTTGCAGCTAGAAAGCCCATTAGAGATCGATCCTACGGCCGTCGAGACTAAGCGACCCAAATTAGCCGTATTCAAATTCCTCCAGGCTATCATGAAACGTCCCGAGATCCCCTCCGAGTCCTTTATGATCAGTGATTTGATGGGAAATGATACTACTGGTTTCGTCAAGGTATGACTTGTCCGTGTTGCCCGCTCATCTACACAGAAGTCTAGCTCGGATATCAATCATGTATCACGAATAGGCAAGCTAACTTCCTCGATTAGGTTACCCAAATTGTGAATCATGTTTTGGACCTTGCCGAGCAGCGAGGTCTACTTCTGCAGGTCCAAACGTATCAGGAGGAGAGTGGACCGACGGCACCCGGGTCTCGAATGACATATCGCGACCATATCATCCAAGAACTTGTCGATACCGAGCGAAAATACGTCCAAGATCTGGAGAATCTGCATGATCTTAAGAAAACTTTAGAGCAGAAGGGTGTGATTACCGGTGATATCATCCACCAAATATTCTTGAACATAAATTCGATATTGGATTTTCAAAGGCGATTCTTGATTCGTGTCGAAACTACAAACACGATATCGCAGGATATGCAACGATGGGGTGCGCCGTTTGTCACATACGAAGATGCCTTCGATATTTATCAACCCTTTATTGCAAATCAGCGGAAAGCAGGCCAAATAGCGAACAAAGTCTTTGATAAGATTCAATTGGCTGAGCATCCTGTGTCGTTTGATTTTAACACATTGGACAGTTTCCTCCTAAAGCCAATGCAGAGATTGGTCAAATATCCTTTACTGCTAGGGGTTGGTGACCCCCTTTCATATTTTAGATCTACCGATGCTAACCTATTTAGTCTCTCTTGAAAAAGTGCGAAGATGAAGAAGTCAAGGCCGACTTAGCTGCAGGTATCAAAGCAGCAGAACGAGTTCTTACGAAGGCGAACGAGGCAGTCAATCGTGACCTGCTAGATGAAGCTTTGGAAGAACTCACAAATAGAGTGGACGACTGGAAGAGCCATAACGTCAAGTCTTTCGGACGGTTGTTGTTGCACGGTGTGTATACTGTCATTACTGGACGTAGTGAGCAAGAAAAGGATGTAAGTCTTGTAAATGCGATTTCTCCAATCTATAAAACGGCACTGATGATAGTCCAGTATGAGATTTACCTGTTCGAGTGTATCCTCCTCTGCTGCAAAGAGGTACAGCCAAACAAAACCAAGGATAAGAAAGACAAGAATAAATCTGCGCCGAAGGTCCCGAATAAAAATAATAAACTGCAGCTTAAGGGGCGGATATTTATGACAAACGTGACCGAAGTCCTCTCCTTCGCAAAACCGGGTACGCAACGCAAAAATTCAACTAAAGAACTTAACCTAACTTATCCAGGTTCATATACGGTGCAAATATGGTGGAAGGGCGACCCCGGCGTAGAAAACTTTATCATTAAGTTTTCTAACGAGGAAACGATGAAGAAGTGGGAGACGGGGCTGGTCTCGCAGAAGAAAGAACACGCACCGACCACAGCTATAAGCCCCGAACAGTCCACACCGGATTTTGCATGGATGCGAAATCAGGGCGGTCTCGAGAATCCCTACGCTCAGCAGGACGACGATGAGGATGAGGAAGAGGAAGAAACGGTGTCAGTACAAGTTACGCAACCGAGCGAAGGCTTCGGTGGCGTTCCGAATGGTGGAGTTATCAATCGTAATACCTCAAGTACAAGCCTTAGGCAACGCTCTGCTACTGGAGAGAGTAACCTCTCGTTAGCAGGTATCGCTCGAGCGCCGCCGCCGCGCTTCCCTCTCCCGGCACCTCCAGGGCAGTTGAGTCTTCAAACACAAGGTGGCACGCAGTCGCCTAGTGCTCGTGCTATGGAGTCGTATTTTTCTCCCACAGCAGAGTCTCCTGCGTCGTCACGGACAAGCACCGCAAGTACCTTGTTTGCATCCACAAGTGGACAGCAGTACCCGTTCCCAAGGATTGGAACGCCTCAGAGCGGTTGGGAAGATAACAATCGTTACACTGCCCCAGCTTTGCCACGAGCTCCCTCGAGAGACGGTCCATCACCGATGAATGGAAGGAATTCTGCCAGAACGGCTTCTTTTCAGCAGCAACGTAGCCGGTCCTATAGCACTCCAGACATCAACGCGCAGCCAAACGGACGTAGGACTAACAACAGTACCCCGGTCCCCGCCGTACCTGGGATTCCATCTCATCTTCACCCTGCACACGACCCGAGCATCCCGCGATCTCAAACCGGTTCACCCAGACAGGACATCCCCATCCGTACCAACACGCAGAGCCCAGGTGTACAGCGTGACGGAGGGACCATGTCTCAATTCCCCACACAACCTGTCTATCCTCGACAAGCAACTCCAGCCTCGGGGACGACAACTGGAGGGGCAGCACCTCCGACACTGAATATAGATAATCGACAGCCCGTGTCACCGCCGCTGGGCACTGCTACGCAAGGCAACCCACTCTCAAGTCCGGATTCGTCAATTCCCGCTCAATTGAAAGTCAAGGTGAACTGCGATAGTGGGAACTATTTCACGCTTGTTGTTCCGTTTAATATCGCGTATCAGTCTCTTAGCGACCGCATCGATGTTAAGCTTGCGCGATTCACAACCAGTTCGATTGCTAAGGGCACCCTGAAGCTGCGATATCGTGATGAAGATGGAGATGCTGTGACAATTGAAAGTGACGACGACATCCAAATCGCATTCTCGGAGTGGGGTGAAGGTGCGCGCAATTTTTCTGGCGGCGTTGGAGAAATAGAGCTTTTCTGCGTCGGAGAAACGAGTTGAGCCTATCCCAGGAGGCTTGGCGATAGGAATCGAAGGGAACTTTCGACACGAAATCTTTACTAATACGGCGATAATTTATTCACAGACGGCCGAGGCGTAATCCCGACACTAGCTGCATTGATATTGCTCTGGTGTTAGCACGCTCATAACAGACGATTCAATATCGATACTACTTCCTACCCTGCAGATCTTCCAAACGTTCATTTTATGACTTTACGATTCTTGCACATATTTTAGATACCAGACCTTTTTTGGTCACACATGGATTGGCTTTGGGTCCTTGCCAGATGAAAAGGAGCTTTACATTCGTTCGCACGCTTTAGTGCTACAAGAGAACTGTCGATCGTTATGGATACGCTTCTATTACAGAGCCCTTTTGCGGCTTAGTGAGCAATCATTTTTGGTTCGATCCGAATCTTATGTTTTACAACACATCCGACTATCATTACCGTATGAAGCGGCACAAGCATTCAACGAGATTCAAGGGCTTTTACTGGGTTGGGTAGCATGGCTACTAGCCCATAGAGGGAGCCACAAGAAGGATAATCAGGTATTTCGGACTTTGGCCGTTTTTGATAACCTTGCACGGGTCGGCGCTAGTTAAGAATGGATGGCGGTTCTGCTGTTTCCCACGTCTCACTTTGCAAACATGAAAGAGCAAGAGGATTGTTATAGCATTGTCGGGAGTAAACCTAGGGCTTCAAACTGAAGGTGTAATGCAGATCCGACATGACGTAGTTGATGGCCATGATGCCTTGAAGCATGGCGAGTGACACTAGCGGGGTCCCGCTTAGAGTGTTTAAAGGAGTAAGAGTTTGACAGCCAGCTACTTATATATAGGTGGATTGATGCTAAGATTTCCAAGCCGTTCCGCGTCTATATTATATGCATATTCGGAGCTTTCTCGATCTACCTAAAATACTCGTTTGAGTAGTATACTCAAGGTTCTAACATGTGATTTATCTTGGTCTGGAACTAGCCCTACGAAAGATTTGCTTGGCCCATCGTAAGAAGTCGAGTGTCAACGTCAACGGACATTGTCTTCCGCATTTTACCTATTTCGTCCGATTGGCTCTATATTATTCTTCCCTTCTCAGCCAAATTAGTATACAGCTCTCCTCTTTATACCCTGTTCAAATTATTTATAGCTATGCAGCGTTCCATTGCTTTGAACATAGTTGAGCCGTGTAGATTAACAGGTGGCGTCGTAGATAGGTATATATATTGTCCACCTGTAAAACCGCTCTGAAGATCACTCATCATCCTCACCCAGGTCTTGTAGTTTTGGTTTTATAGTTTTATGTAACCAACTTATTATACTCCTGCCACCGCTTCAGCTTAGTAAATATTTATAATAACCAATTATTCCTTATCAGATTCAGAGTCTCTACCTAGGCAAGAGGACAGGATGCTCTCATCTCTTGCTCGCAGCCTCCTTTTAATCGCTGCCGCGGCGATTCCGGCAGCGCTGGCGAAGCCAGAGCAGATTCGCGCTGTGCAGTCGCCTATCTTTCATTACTATCTACAGGCGTACCCAGAGGACCGTATGTTCATCCCTCAGTCTCTATATTCCTCATATCCCCCCTTTCCTCTACCCTCAAGTTCCAAGCACAGCATGTGAAACTGACCGCCATTCTTCGGGCAGCTGAGATACCGGTGATGGGCCCCGAGGCCAGCAGCGAATACTTCAACATCGGGGGTTGGCTCCAGAGCATGAACACGTCGCTGTTCTTGAACATCGGAAACGACCAGACCTCGTACAAAACGTTGACCTTCGCGGAGGCGACCGTTACTGACGCCTGGGCGCTGGAGGTATTATTTCGAATTCCTAAGTATATTTAACATAGTTACCTATGCACCAATTTCTGACCATATCGCCATAAATAGGGAGACACGATCATCACGAGCCGGGGCAGCAACTACGGCCGCCAGCTCAACTTCCTAGTTTGCAAGCTGACCGGCGACTACTGGCAAGTATACCTGCAGATGGGAAGCGAAACGCCCGCGGGAAGGACTTGCAGCAATTATCAGAGCTTGCATCTGCCCTGCCTATGCTAGAACAAGTCTTGAGGAGCGGGGCGAGGGAGGAAGGCTGTAAAATCTGGCTAAGGGTATATGGAGGTTACGGATCAAGGGGCAGGAAAAATTGTTCGGTTTTCCAGCAGTGTTGGCAATATTCGCAAGCTAGGTAGTCAAATGAATTGTAAATAAAGCCTAGAGATGCCAATGGCTTCCGTTTAGCCAGTATTCTTTTGGTTGTATATATGTAGGCTTGGTTTAATATTTAATGGCCTCCAAAGCTATGCGGCCTGCTGATGGGTGCTATGTGCAATCCTGCGTTCAGCTCACATCCGACTGCATATGCCTATTCCCGCCAGAATGGCATCTCGAACCTAATTGTACGTTTCTAGTATCAATTGGTTGATAACCGGCATGTTCGGGCTCCCGTTCAAATCAACCTAGAACGCCGGCTTATGCTTTCAACACTAGGAGTTGTTTTATTCCGTAATCTTCCATCGTATCGTACAGAAGAGTGAAAGTCTTTGTATCATATCTTCGTTTATAGTGTGCCACGATCTAATAAGACGTAGTAGCTTTTTTGACCACGGCTGGTAGTTGTTATATTCTCCCTCTTTAGAGCTATCATTTCTTTTTCTTTTCCGCGTAGGTAAGCCTATCCTTGAATCGCGCAAGGTGGTAGTTGATCTCGCTGCTCTTGGGCTTCGAAGGTTGCGGTCCATCCATGCAATTCCGCAAGGCCTGTTCAACCTGCGCACATCCAACGGTGCTATATCCTGCAGATGCCCAGCATGCTACGGAGCATATTGGATTAGCTCAAGTATGATATAGTAAGACGTCATTGACATGATATTTCCATATTTCCATATTTAAGGGGATCTAAGAAGAGGTAGGTATTTGCGCATACCTAAAACGGATGACATGAGAGCCATGCACGGACGTTCCCTCTGACCATTCGGGTTGCGAACTCGGAGGACCTTCAACGGAGGAAGACGGATTGGCTTTTGTGACGCCGACATCTTGAAAGATCGAACACGGTGTCGGATCCGGTAGTTCCTATCCGGTCGTTGATACTTGCCGTCAATTGAAAACCGCGTGGGCCGAAATGAAGCTTTTCGCAAGTAAAAAAATTATGCTAAGCTAAATCTAGCAAGAAAAAAGAGTGATCACGTGGAAATGTTTTTTTTTTAATGCACAGGCCAAGGAAAGAGGCTCCTGTGGGTAATGGTGTGGGTTATCCTTGCCATCCGTCCAGCCGTCCAGCCGTGTCACACACCCAATACTGATCCGTACCTTTTTCTTTTTTTTTTTTTTCTTTAGCAACTTGCTCGAATAAGGTTCTAACCTAAGCCCACCCGACGATCAAAAAGAGCAATCAGCACAGATCAAACCTGGTGATAATTTACTTCAGTCCACACCATTGGAGACAAGACGAGGATTAGATATCTGCATGTGCATTGCATACCCGTTTCTTGGACATGCTATTCGCACATTCGGTATGATTGGCATACGACGTGGTACACGTAATCCTCCCCGTGGTGGACTTTCGTGATAGCGTGCATCAACGACAGGGAGGGAACCTCGTCGAGGGCTTGCTTACACGACATCGATTACTCCGAATTCTGGCCGCGATATCGGCACCTTTCTTCTCTTTTTAGGGAATTGGCCGTTGTTGGGTCTCGCAAGCAAACGGTATCGAGCCGTCGGGAACTTAGACAATTTACACTAGGGAGCTACTATACATCATCTAGGTCTCTCGAGGATCTCGAACAGATCGAACGATTCATTACCAGATTCTGAGAGATTTGGGAATCTATTTAGATGCCAAGTCGAGTTTAAGACGCTTGTCGTCAGTTAAACAGTGTCTACTGCGAGTTTACACCATAGATACTGTCTAGAGTAGATGTCCTATACCTATAATGACTAGTGATCACCGGATGTCAACTTGTTACCAACTTCTACTTATAGTTTCTTGATGTCATGATCTGATTCGCCTTCTCAATAGGTCTCACGTTCTAGTTAGTCGCCGTGTCTCGCCTCTGGAGGCGGGATCTCCAGTACCCCCAAGCCAATCCCGCCTTATGGTCGTAGGAAAGTCGCGCAAAGCTGAAGAAGATCTTTCAACGTCAAAAACTGCTCCCACGTCTCCACCCGGCACGGTCTCAACCGTCAACGTAATGTTAGCCGAGCTATTGGAATGCGCCAACAAGATCGAGAATATGGTCCTCCTTCGGCGTCAAGCTTAGTCTTTGTTAGCTCGCGTATGTAGGTAGGTCATGCTTTGATCCTCGGCTGATGGGTACTGATTGATAAGATAATTTCTGCTAGCGTCCCCGTCTTTTCCTGTACTGGTACCACTTAAATCGGCTAGTGCACCTAATCGAGATTGGTCCAGCCAGGTCCCCTTGAATGTTGGTGGATCGCTAGTTCACCTGGAATGCCCGAGGAACCTTCCCTCTTCGGAGCTGATTTTTTTGTTCTCAACTCGCAAACTACACTTTGTTCAGGCTTCCCATCTCAGCTTGAGCATAATAAGTACGGATGATTTATGGGATGCTTTTACGTAATTTACCTTCATATTTTTAAAATAGGTCAAAATAGAGCAGAACAAAGTGGAATTACGAGGTAGCTTTAATATTTTCTAGCCATGGCATGTTCCTAGCTTCGAAGCCGCGTCCGGTAGAGTATACCCTTCTAGGTATGGGGTTTCTGCTTAATCGTCGTTTACTCTACATACTGTACTTGCGATAGCATACCCCACTCTTTTAGTTATGTACATGTACCTAACATACCTGGTTACCCTCCTGGTGACATGGCCAGACCCAGAGATCTAGGGTTAGCTAGGGTACTTCCTACTTATCAATCTCCGGTACGGTAGGAGCGCCTATCGGATCAAAACGCCCATCAGATAAATAAAAGGATAGGTTAACCACCCAAGATCTCTCCTTTTCATTAATCCAGCCAGCCAGCATCATTGCACTTCTCGGCCGAGAATATATATCTCTCTCTGTATATATCCTTATGTATATATAAGAGCAGATAATAACTCATCGCTTGGCGTGCGTGCATTGTACTACAATTGCTTAAATTGCTGACTGCCGCCTACGCTACGACACGACTGGTTTATTATCAATACTAGTCAGACCACGGAAGTTGTTACGCTGTGTTTATATCAAGTCAGAACCACCACTTGATCGACTAGGATTGCTCGAATCCAACAGCCACAATGAGAGGTCCGCTTGCTCGGTTCGCCCACCCTACTGAGGTGCCGGTGGAGGAGAAATCCCACCCGGCGAACGATAAGGAAGTCGGCGTCGTCGATAACCAAACCCGGAATAGTGAGACTGATGCCGATATCGACGCCATCGACAGCCATGCTCAAGCCGGTGTCCAGAAAATCGAGGCCACAACCAAGGTCTGGACCATGTCTAATCTCATATTAGCTTATGTCTTGTAAGTCACTACTAGACCGTCTCTTCTATTTCCATGTCTTATAGGTAAACTAATGATGTCTATAGCATCTGGATTATCTACTTTGTCGACTCTATGCAACAGGGCATGGGGTCTCTTTTGACCCCCTATGTTACTAGCTCGTTTGCCCTCCATTCGTTGACTGCTACGACAGGCGTCATGTCTGGTATCTTTGGCGGTGTTTCGAAGCTCACTCTAGCGAAAATATTGGATATCTGGGGTCGGCCTCAAGGTTTCTTGGTCGTAGTTCTTCTAATGACCGTTGGACTTGTCATGATGGCAGCATGCAACAACGTCGAGACATATGCAGCTGCACAGGTGTTCTATTGGGTTGGGTAAGTACTAACTTCCCGAAAATCCTTCAGTAACCTAAGTATATATTAACTCTTTCAGATACAATGGAGTCAGTTACTCCCTCTCTGTTTTCATCGCCGATACTTCCCACCTGAAGAACCGAGCCCTAATGTTGGCGTTCGTCTCGTCTCCCTATATTATAACCGTATGGATTACCGCTCCCATGACCGACAGTATCCTATATGGTATTGGCTGGAGATGGGGATTCGGAATTTTCTCCATCATTACTCCGATCATGTGCCTTCCTCTGTTCTTCTTGTTCACCTGGAACTACCAAAAGGCAAAGAAGGCTGGATTGATTATCTACACCCCGAGCGGCCGTACAACATGGGAATCGATTAAGTATTACTTCTGGCAGTTCGACGTCATCTGCCTTATTCTTCTTACAGGTGGCTTTGCGCTCTTCCTGCTTCCTTTCAATATCTACTCTTATCAGTACTATGGATGGAAGGACCCCTTGGTCATTTGCTTGATCATATTCGGTGGACTGCTTCTCATCGGAGCTGTGGTCTGGGAAAGATTCTTTGCACCAGTCAAGTTTATGCCTTGGGAGCTCCTCAAAGATCGAACCGTTCTTGGAGCTTGCATTCTTTCCGCTGTTCTTTTTGTTGAATATTACATCTGGACTGCCTACTTCAGCTCCTTCCTCCAGGTTGTCCTCAACCTGGATGTAACCCAAACTGGTTACGTCGGCAATATCTACAGTATTGGATCGTGCTTCTTTTCCTTCATAGTGGGTATTCTAATCCGCTGGACTGGTCGCTTCAAGTGGATTACCCTGTACTTCGGTGTACCGGTCACAATTCTCAGCATTGGCCTACTCATTCACTTCCGACAGCCTGGTACTCACCTTGGTTGGATTATCATGTGCGAGATCCTATACGCCTTCGCCGGTGGTGCCTGCGTTATTGGCGAGCAAATGGCCGTTATGGCCGCAGCAGCTCACCAACACGTCGCCGTTGTCCTCGCCATGGAGGGTATGTTTAGTAGCGTCGGTGGTGCCATTGGAGGCACTGTTTCCGCCGCCATCTGGACAGGCGTTTTCCCCGAGGCACTGGCCAAGTACTTGCCTGCAGAGTCTCAGGCAAATCTTACGGAAATCTACGGTCAACTTCCAGTTCAACTCTCATACCCTGTTGGTTCGCCGACTAGGGATGCCATTATTCTAGCCTACGGTGATGGCCTACGGTGGATGTTCGTCGCTGCTACGGCCATTACTGGACTAGGCCTCGTTTCTGTCGCCTTCTGGCGGGATATCAAAGTCAAGGACTTCAAGCAGGTCAAGGGTCGTGTAATTTAAAATATATACATGAGGCTCAGAGCATTTGCTTTTCTAGCAGTAAAACAAAAGGGGTATGGTGCATGGTTTAGCAAGGGGATTCCGGTAATGGCATGGGTTGTGGTGTATTGAGAATGAGCGGACGAGTTCGACGTGTAAGATGATGCGGCGATATAGACATGGGATACCGCTGGTTCACTGAATCACGCTCATTTCAAATGATTAATGTTGAATGAAGCAAAATCCTCTAACTATGCACGGCTATACACTTGTGACTGTAAATTTCATCCTTTCATACGAGATACTCAATAGTCTATTGAATCAATTGTGTTTACTGCTATTCTAGGTTGGCATAGCAAAAAAAATAATGCTAATTTTAAGTTCTCAACTACAACATGGAGAGCCACTGGCGACAGAGGCTCATAGCCCTTGTGCTTGACCTTGTGCAACGCCGGATATAAGTGGGACACATACCTAGATCAGGTAGGTACTGTACTACCTAGCCCAGCCGTCTTGTCGGCCCGTTACAGGCGTCTGTGGGGTCGACATCAACTAAGCTTCAACTTTCAACATGAACATCGACAACTCTCAAAACTTATTTGCCCATACTACAAGCATCCATTATAAATCCCACTTCACTTATTTTCGTTAATACTTTCTATTAACTTGCAGATTTGCTTCTTACTTCCAAGTTTTCAACCTCAGCCGCAAAAGAGGTTGCTACCGCTAGACAATATGCGGGAACTTTTCCTCACTGCATCCGTCAAGGATTCAGATTTCGCAATGGCTTGTGCAGTCTTGCAAGGCTTGACGTGGATGAATGCTCGTCACACCGTCCATCGCATTCTATTCTTTCATGGCCAGCCACAACCACAGCCCCTCAAAGTCACACGCGCTTTCCAGCAATCACGCTTCTTGCAGCTCTGGAAAGATCTAAGTAGCCAATTAAATCGGTCATCATATGTTATTCAGCTGGCCTACGAACTTGTACCAGATAGGGATTTCGGCAAAGAAACTAATATGGAGTTCAATGCTTTACCTGGCACTTTGCGGTGGACAGATCTACCAGACCCTCTTCGAGACACACCAGTGACGCAAAGAAAGAAGATTGAGATTCCAGAGCAGAATAGTCTTCCGACGGCTCTCACTGACAATGGTTTCCAGTATGTCTTACTTTTACATTGGCTAAGTAGGTGATAGAACTAGTACTAATGAATCCTTGTTAGGTACAAGAATGAAATCATTCAGGAGAGCTACTCCTTCGTCAGGGAGAACGTCGAATTCGTTTTCAGCAGATACTATCACCTTCCAGAATCTCAAGGGCGGCCACTGGCTGCTCTCCCTCCCTGGGCCGATCTTCGGCCAGTAGATCCAGCACAGAAATGGGTGTTGAATGTGAAACTGAATGTCATTGATGACAGCCAGCCGGAAAAGGTGAAGAAAGCAAATGGGGAGCTCTTGGTTGTTAAGGCAGAGCTTGAGAAGATATTTGATTTTAAGGCTGTTGACCGGAGGGTCTTCGACACTAGGATTGCACCGCCCCCTGTAATACCTGGCCGAGGATAGAACAGCTGTCAATGCTATTGGTACAATTACCAACCTAGTCTAAGAAGGCATGTCATCTCGATGGCGGCTAAGGCCTCGAGATTCTCTACAAAGAGATACAAGAAGGCTAGTATGGAGCACCAAGGCAATGAACATGTATAAAGGGGGTAGTGCTTCTGCAAAAAGGATAGAAGGGAAGGGTATCAAGGACATAACATACGCCAATGTAGTCGCCAGATGGACATGGCTATGTGGTGTTAATACACATTACATCTGCCTAAGGTAACTTAGGATTTCCCCAGAACCTGACCATCCAGTTCAATGGGAGAAAACATGCCCAACAAAGGAGTCGTTACTTTTATGCACATTCATGAGCGCCAGTAGGTACCTAGGTACGCAACCTGAACTGGGAGCTCATGGCTCAACAATGTCGTTGTCCTGTTAAATTTACGTGATGACAGCTTCTATATCAACAAAAATACAATACCACTACACATTATTTTTATATTGTAAGATCTGATTACTTAGTATCCAAGTTGCCACGCCTAGGCACACATAGATATCTAATAATTTATATATCATCTTAACTACATATCCCTTAAAGAAACATCAGGCTATCGTTAGGTACTTTTGTGCATTCGTACCTGCCCCAAGTTTATTGTTTACCATTAACAAGCACGACTCTAGACGTTGCTTCGTTGCTTCCGTAACAGGGACGTAGTAACACGCGCTAGTTAGAGGCATACTTCAGTGCCTGATTTCAGGTAAGAACGATGGGATGATATCTTATCTCTAATACATGAATCATTGATTTTTATTTCCTTCTTTCCAAGTCGGCAGTCGCTTCTTCTAATATCGTGCTTACCACCTTACCGCCTTACCACCTAGCCAATATAGAAACTTCCCACAGCAGACAAATACCTGATTCCTTAACAAGTTTCTTACACTTTCCCTGATCCTAATCAAGACTTCTTTCCCTATCCCCAGGTCATCTCAATTGGTTAGGTTTCATTGACCTTGCCGATTCATCTGTCCTGTCTAGATCATCTTGATAATATCTCCATCCATCCATCACAGGTCGAGATGCCTTACAATAACAACAACACCAACGCCAACAACACCAGCGGTGGGGTGCAACCGGTTACACCTCCGGACACCCTTCAATCTCTCCCCTACTATGATCCCAAACATGTTCACAGCAACTACCCACCCTACCAAGTTAGACCGGCCCAGAGCTTGAAGCCTGCTAATCTACATACGGGATACGTATCGGCGAATCAACCTCCTGGTCCTCCGAAAGGATCTACCGCTTCACACTTCGGACAGCGAGTTACCGGTGAGTTAATCATTTCAGGGTCTGTTCCATCAATCCAGGCTAACAAGTATCATTTAGCACCGCCTCCCGGCCTCGCGCCCCCGGCACCTATGGCGCCCATGGGTCCGGGCTTATCAGCTTATATGAACCCGAACTATGCCTCTCAGATGCCTTATGGTGCTCGTGTGTCCCCTTCTCACCACCCTGAGACGATGCCAAACAGTACCGCAAGCCCTAGAACCCCTCGGGTTGTCCTCCCGCCTTCGCGAGGGCACCAGCACCACCCCAACTCTCAGACGCCTACTCGTCCCCGAACCCGAGGTAAAGGTATTGGTACTACATCCCCTTCCGGCATCGTCCCCAGCAGCCGCCAGATAATCACCGATCCGCGCCAGACCGTAGTCAGCAGCCCGACTTTCAATAACTACTATCTTCCTATGCAGGCGCGAGACTTCCAGAACCCATACCAGGGAAAGCAACCGCAAATGGCGCAGCCTCACATAGGAAGTCCTGCTCATGCCGTGGCTCCCCAGGAGCTGAAGCCACCACTTGACAGGCACGCCCGCCAGAGAATCCTCGACGAGCAAGCCAAAAGCTTTTCTGAGGAAGATGATGCCGCGTTTTACCCACACAAGGACTAAATGTTACAGAGAAGACGTAGTAGGGATGGGGCTCTGCGTCCCGATGATATTCCCTTTTCACTCAACGGGTTCATGACTGGGGGGCAGAGTGTTTTGGAACAGGAAAATCTTGAGAAAATGCGGGAAATTAGGAAGATTGAGTTTTGTTCATGCGAGTTTACTTGGTAGTGGCCGCAGTCCAGAAAGGATTCCACGGAGCAGGAGGGAATAAAACGGCAGGCCAACATGATCGCCGTAATACACCTCTTTGATTCTTATCTACGGGCTTCTATAGAATAGTTGTCCCAGGCCATGGTTTGCGCAGTTCTTCACTTTTCGTTTAAGCATCTTAAGATGCACATCATGCTGTAATTAGTTCTTTCATAGCCCTATGAGGTTCATTATAGACAAGGCAATGCATTTCTCTTTCCATACTACCTTCCAATACCAAATGTAAATAGGTTAAATATTTAATTACTCATAAAACTTCCTTTGTAATAGAGTATTTCAGTTGAATAAGACTGAGGATACCCATGTACTCTACGTACGTATAATTTGGGAGCATTTACTCCCCCTTTTTCACTTTCTTTGCTTGCCAGTAGTATCTAAGTCCATTATCGTGCCAAACCCTCCTTCAGATGTTCGAGTTCTCTCCGAGAAATCACCAATATTTTGCTCCTCTACCGGTAGTTTAGATCCTATCATAAATATGATTTGTGATATCTAATGCTCTCAGGGAAGATCAGGAACTTCTATATTTTGTCCATATGTCACTTTTTCTAATCATCCACAGATTGAAGCGAAGTGATGGCAGATGTTACGCTCAGTCACTATATAGCAGCGAGGTAATAGCCATTATCACGACCGTGGCTAAGATAAAGTACCAAACCGAACAGCTCTAAGAGAGCTTCTTACATTTATCAGCAAAGGCGAGATTGAAGGGTATGTATAATCCGAGTTTATAAAACATGATCCCAACCATATTTTCGTTATTTAGTGAGCATGTCACGATTGCTACAGGAGTCAGATTCTTTATATCGTATACCTAGTTAGGTATATAAGGAGAGCCTTGCAGCATGCTGCAGTATCTAATGTTCTAAGTTCCTAAGAGAATCATTATCAATAGATGACGGCTGGAAAAAGCCTCACGCCCTCGCAGGCGTAACACGGAATGGCTGAAAGCGAGCCTATGGCACCTCAGGAGGCGGCCCCCGAATGCCAATATTTCACCGAACACAAGCTCACTCGGAGGAGCCAGCGGGAACATTATGTGTAACTTTTAAGGTTATATTTGTAAGAAATCGGAAAACAGGATACGAGTGTATATTGGTCTTGAGATAGCTCTGCACGCCGCATACCCCAAGGGAGGTCTGCGAGGGCTCCTTCCCCTCGCCTCGGTGTTAAATATACAAACTAGACATCAATATATGATACGTTTAGTTTCAGCCTCGTAATAGAAAATTACAAGTAACCGTTCGTACTTCAGAGAAGATAATAGCTTAATTCCCCTAGAGTTCTGTAAATATCCCTAGAAAACATCTAGTCTAGGTATCACGAGGTAGGCCTAAAAGACATTGAAGTAACTTTGTTGTTCCGTAAGGAATTCTAAACCTAGGTGACTACCTATGGAAGCTCGTGGCTATACGTACTTTCTTACAGTATCCTTTGTTCGAAATGTCTCATCTATAATTACTAATAATGGGCTTCCTAGGAGTTCGTGAACATCAAAAAAAGGCCTCGGACTGTCCCCCAAAGTATATTCTCCTTTAATCTACGTGTTGGCAACCATTCGGAGAATTCTTCCACACCTTCTAAAGAGATAAAGTTCATGGGCATGAAATAAGATTAGGTGTTTTCATATCCAGAACAAAAGTAAGCCATCGATAATAAGCTATTAGAGACCAACCTAGATCTCATAGCTAAGTAGAATATAGTGATATGATTACTCTAGCCTGCATTAAACGAGCCCTCGTTCGATAAGACACATTACGCACTTAGTAAGTCGGCAATAATTATCTAGATAAACGCTACAAACGTACTGATTAACTATTGTGAATACCAAGTTTTGTTTTACAGTTAGGTATTGATGCTACCTAATGTTACCTATGGAGGCAAGTGAGTAGGCTATTAAAATCATCGTACTGCTCGTGTTGGTTTATCTAGTAGACCCGCTGGCCACAAAGCCTTACACTGACTCATTGCAATCAAATACACAACGTAGGCTTATTGGGGGCTGGAATGTTTGTTGGACAAAAGTTGATCAGTATCTTTCGATTACCCCAGGTGTTCTAACATTAGCTTTCGTATTGAGGCCCTCCTCACAACCAAGATCGGTCAACAGCGGTTACTACAGGATCTGCTCCACGCTCACCGGTGTTTTTTAGATTGGTCCAAATTCGAGGTACTTGGCCTTGAAGTACCTACCAACTACCAACAGCTAAGCTCATTCGACAAGGGGATGCCGCATCCCGTTATTCGGTACCAGCATCAGGGCAAAATGTAAATGGAGCCTTGTATATCGCTACGGAAAGATCCCTGAAGCTCCTCGGCCGATGCCGTCAGAAGGTTATTTGCAATTTCCTTAGCAGCCCTAGAATTACCGCCGAGTTTGAGACCTGCGCCCCTCTCCCCAACAATAGAACAGGAGCGTACCGTAGAGTGATAGAGCCTGGGAATCTCATCTAGTGTTCTCCGCCTCTTCGCCTTCACCCACATCGTGTGATGCTAATTACCCGCATCTGGCAAACTTGAGACGGCCGGGGAGCTATTTAGAATCGGGATGAAAAATTAGATACGTCGATAGACGGCACAGCTACGCACAGCTACGCTCTCGAGTGGAACCCGTTACCCTCAAAGTAACATATCAACCTACAGTGTTACATGGAAGTTTAACTTATGACGCCTTTTTAGGGTGTCGTGCCGCACTCATGTTGTTAGCTAGGTACCTATAGCTTTGACGTCTGGGGAAGGGTAATCACCACACGGGATCCATGTTCATCCCCCTATTAAGCCTACCTCTGCTGCTATGATAGGTAGGTGTATGCCCTACAGCTATTAACCTCGTGGCTTTAGCTTGTGCCGTATCATATCAAACGCTTCATTTTGTATACATTCCATACGCGCATGGAGGAATGTCTAGGCTTTAGATTTGCATTCGATCCAGCCAAGTAGATCTAGACTAATGCATATTATTGGTTCCTGGTTACGGTACGGAATACTACCTAGCCTTTGCTGCAAGAAGAGTCTTAAAGTCCCATACATGAATGGGAACCCTAATGACATAAAATTCCCACTGCGGATAGCTTGGCTAGTCATGAGGCAAATCTTTTGCATGTCGAGTAACTTAATGTACTGCAATAAACCTGTTAATATGAGAAACACTGGTAGCCTGACGGCCTGATACTATAGTAACATGACTGAGATAATGAATAACACAGCGTTTATCTTTTAGCTTAGAAGATCCACCTGACAGTTTGGGGATGTCTGTACTTTTGCAATCTACATAACTTAGGTAACATTGATACTATGAAATAAGTATGAGTGATGATAGGCTAACCAGTATTGAGGTGTTTCTATCGTAACCCCTGAGCAGTATGTATAATTAGGTATACCTCCCACCTTCTACCCGCAACTAGCTACTACCAGGGGTCGAGGATTCCCATCCTTTAACGGCCAGAGTACGTTGTAATAGCCCCGCTTGACGTGCGTAACAGACGCGGCGGCCACGATAAAACCACCTGCGCGCCATGCAGCCGTACCTAACTCTGAACATAACTGGAGATTTAGGGTTTCAAGGATTCTTAAGATAGATCAAGTACCTTCTCTTTGTTGTGGTTCGAATTAAAGGCCCGACCTATTGCGTCGAAGTAGGGGGAAAGACTCTGCGAACTTTCTCTTTCGGCGTACACATGACTTACTATACGGGTTAACTCAAGAGAGAGGAGAGCTGAACTGTCCCAAGTCCAACAAGCAAGGCGATGGTAAATCCCGGTTGAACCCTCACGTTACTCCTCTTCCTTCGATACGGTCTGTTTACGTCCTAGGCGACTAAATCAAACATATCCTCATTTGAACCCCCCTACCGGTTCCCCCACGTTGTTCTGCGGCCACTACTATGCAATATGTACGCTACGGGTCTATATGTATATGTATGTGTAATAATAACTTCAGAGATCTATCGGATAGCAGATCATACTACATTTGTATAACTCATATACTAGCAATGGAAAGAAAGGTAGCTAAGCTAAACTCCACTCGGCTCGGTACGGGTTCGTGCTTGGAAGAACGGGTAGATATCGGCCAGTGCCAACGCTACCCGAAGTTTCTAGCCGGATTTAAGACATAGTTTGTATTGCATAGTTACCTATATGTACAAATGTGCGTGATTGTCCGTGCTTTAGACTTCCTCCTTCTAGGCTAACGAAAAAGAGACAAGAAAGTTACTCCTCTCTGGACGAATTCGGCATTCGGTCTAGGTAGGCTCACGTCCCTGCTCATACGTTCCTTCTATCGTACCCGGGACACACTTCGTTACCTAAAGAGTGTAAAGTAGCAGTTTTTGGTGCGGTGTGCGATAGGAGGGAGGGAAAAGGAAAAGCTGTCGCTCGGCCGACCTAGGGTTCAAGGCCCTGGGGAAGACACTAGGAGGGTTTCTGGGCCAGGGATGACGATCCTTTTGCCCGCCTATGCGCCTACGGCGCAGCTGGTACAGCGTTGTTTCTAGACGTGCGCTCTGCCGTTGTTCGCATGGCTGCATGGACTTTTGTGCTACATCATATTGGAGCACATGGAGCCCATGGCTGGCCTCTGGACTGGCCGAGTTCAGCTCGCGGAATCCTTTTTTCGTTATGGCGTCCCCGTCATCAAGTTCATCCGTTCTTTAATTATGCATTCTCATGTACGATGATGCAGAAGTCACTTAACTAGCTAATCTTAGTTGCTTGTATTAGGAAGGAATAGGATTTATTGCTGTTCAAGACGTACGAGATCATGCGAAAGGGGCCCATTTGCTATACAAAGCT